TTGATTTATGCACCTAGATGAGTACTGAGCAAGAGCCTCCCTTCCAAATAATGAAGAAATGGGAGTTCCTACTGTTGGATAGGCTAGTCACTAGCAGACTTATTCTAAGCCTAAGTCATCATAGCCAGGGCAAAATAATGGGTCAGGCCACAAAATAACCACGTCAAGAAGATGGCAGAGTGGCTATTTCTTTTCTAGAGCTTGTATAAGAATGAAGATCCCAAATCCTGAGGCTAAATCAAGGGGAATATTGGGAAACAGGGAGAGGCATGCAGTTTGAAATGACTACCATCTGAGAGAATTTTTTAGCTGCTCAAGTTTTTCCTTCCTTTCTTTCATATTTATTCCATATTAGCTTTTTTTCCTTTCCATAGTCATTGAGCACCAAAAATATGCCAAGCACTATAATAGGTGCTAAGGTACAGTGGTGAATAAGACAGTTTTAACCCTAGTTCTCATAGAGCTTACAGTTGAGTGAAGGAGATAGCTAAGTAAATAGACTTTTCCAGTATAGTATGATAGGTGATTCTGTGGCAGAAGTGTAGGATAACTTGCACTTAGATAGAAAGTGTATTCACTTCACACTTGGTAGGTCAGGAAAAGATTCCTAATAATCATGATTGAGACCTAAAGGATATATTGGCATAAGCCAGGTATGAAGAGGTGGGCACCAGGATGGTGGTAGAGAGGGACAGAAAAATATTCTAGACGTAGAGAATATGCAGTGTTTCAGAGTTGAGAAAGACATAGAGATCTCTTCAGTTAGAAAATTGAAGTAATACAATATGTGTGGACTTCAATTATAAGTGGTGGGGGGAGTGGAGAGAGATGAAGCTAGAAAAGTAAGTAGAAGCTAGATCATAAACATTTGTTTGCTATTTTAAGGATTTGGACTTTATCCTGAAAGTACTGGGTAGTCACTGAAGGACTTTAATCAGTGGCATGATCAGAATTGCATTTGGTAAAGTTTATTATGTATGCAATGTAGAGAATGGATTAGCGAATGATACAAAAGGAACGTAAGGATTCATTAGGTGGGTTTTACAATAATGCAAGCAAGATGATTGCCTAGTCTAGTGTAGTGGCAAGTAGCAATGCAGAGAAGTATAAAATATTTTCCATAGATAGAATCAACTAGCTTGGTACTTAAATGGTTATGAGGGGTGACAGAGGAGTAGTTAAAGATAATGACCAACTTTCTGGCTCGAGCAACTGGGAAAAAATGTAGGGCCTCATTGGGGTAGGAACTCTGAAGGAAAAGCAAGCTTGGAGGTGTAGAGACACTATAAGTTCAATTTGGGAAATAGTGAATTTAGAGGCCTGCAATATGTCTAGCTAAAGTTGTTTTACAGACAGCCAGACAAAACTGTTTGAAAATTAGGAGAGAGCTAAGTTAAAAATATATATTTGAGAGTCATTCACATGTAGTTAATCACTAAAGCTACGGGAGTAGATGAAATCTTTGATTGAGAGTGTGTAGAGTGAGAATAATGTCTAGCAAAGAACCTTGAAGAATATCTACATTTAAGAAGGGCCTAAGAAGGAAATATGATTTGAGAACTAGCCTGAGTTTCAGAATTCATTGGTTTTTGGTCTTTATGTACCAGCAGGAATTTTACTATTTGGCTCATTTGTTAAAAGGTATTGATGTAAAATTGGTAGCCAAACTTTTTTTTCATTAATAGATGCAAATGAATAAATCTCAAAGTGTGGACCTTAAGGAGTTTGGTTTTACTCCAAAAGCTTTATTGATGTAAAATTGGTTAGCCAAACTTTTTTTTCATTAATAGATGCAAATGAATAAATCTCAAAGTGTGGACCTTAAGGAGTTTGGTTTTACTCCAAAAGCTTCTCTTCCTAGTATATCAAGGTAAAATATTCATCATAAACTCTGTGTTCCTCCAAGTAGTCATTTACCCAGAGAAGGGTGGTCACTAGCTACTTTCAAATCATGGTAATAATTTGATTACATAAGGTAATGACATCATAAGAGTTACATTATCTTTCAGACCCTAAACTTCTTAGAACTCTACTGTTAAAGAATACTTTAACATTCATTGAATAATTTCTTCCCTGGGAAACTACCCATCCTATATGTCATTCTATCAGGCTCTCTCTGCCTTCTAAATTTAACAGGTGACAAGAGTATAGTTTAATAAGAGAATTCATGTTTGTGTACAAAGTCTAACCTTTTCCATTTAGAGGTCTACTGTATATCAATAATACCTCAGATTTATAAAATACTTTATAATTAAAAATTTTTACTTTTATATATTATGTCTTTTGCCCTTAACATAAGGTACTTTTATTCCATTGTATAGGTGAAATAACTGAAGCTCGTATTCCTAGTTAATAAGTCAGCATCCTTTACCTATGTTTTGATGCCTGGATGGCAATAATATATGTCATTTCCCATTCAGATAAGGGAATTTTATATGCAAGGATGATATTTAATATACTTAACTCATGCAGAACAGGTGCCAACACTACTTCAAGAGATCCTATCTTTTTTATCCAACAGAAAGTAGCATTAGCAACAGATTTTTAAGGCTATACATAGATAGCAGATAGTCTACATATTTGGGGCATATAAAGATGACTAAGTATCTCTTGATTCTATTAAAACCTGTTTTTTACCCTTTACTACCCAGGCTGCTACAGTTTATCATAGAAATGTTGAGTGAACGAACCATCCCTTTTTTTTCATTTATATGAATAAGTATTTTTCAGAGTCAGATTAATTTCATTATTTTCTTTAGAATTTTTAAAGTTTTATTTATCTTTATAAAGGTCAGAATATTTAAACACACCTGAATTATCTATACTGGAGCAGAGGGATCAGCATGAAATCTGTGCAAATGTTCAACAAGAACCATCTGATTATCAAGATAAAGGTAAATTACCATTGGTATTGACTTGAGAGAGAATATGATTTATCATTATTTTGGATTAACAAATAATGTTATTGAAAAATCAACATCTGAAATCATTATGATTATAAATTTGGCAACATTTTTCTCTTGGGTTATTGAACCAATTTTAAATTCTTTGGATCTGTTATTTCAGATGGTCTTACTATATATGTCTTAGAATTTAAAAAAAATCTTCCTTACATAGGGTTGACTATTTTTATTTAAAGATACTATGAGGAAAAGCTGAGGAAATAAGGGATCTTTGAGTACAGAAGGTGTTAAAATGCTGAACTATTACTTTTACATATCTTTAGAATTATTTAAAATAATGTTGTTTATAAAATTAGTCCAATTTTACAAAATGACCATGTGACCTTGGGAAAATTATTTCTTTGGGCCTTACCTTTAAAATTAAGAGATTAAATTAGGTGACCTTTAATATCTCTAAAACCTATGACTCTTACAATTTCTGTGATCTATCTATATATATAAAAGCCTAAGCAGCCGACCAGTATCTATGACACACACTGACCACCAGGGAACAGACACTCAACGCAGGAGCTGCCGAGCTGCAGTGACTTGGCAGCTGCGGTTCTCGGGTAACACACCCAGAATCAGAGAGGAAGGAGCCTGATACTGGGGTGCGCCACCCAAGAACCTCCCTCTCGCAACCTGGGACCCCTCAGAGGATGTCAGAGAGCCAGTTTCAGCCGATCCCCACAGGCCAGGCCAAGGGACCCCACAGGTGCACAAATTCGTGCACCCAGCCTCTAGTAAGAATATAATCTAATTTATAGGATATAGCTGGTGTGTAATCTAGGTTTGCCTTTTATCTGTGTCATTCAATTAATGAGATAATGCATATACATTTTCAATATTGTGATTGGTTCATCATTAGTCTGGATCCTGCCATTAAGAGCATCATATTAGGTCATATTTAATAACCAGTCTGTTAAAATGTGTGAGAAATAATCCTGGCCATAGAGTTGTTTTTTCAGTAGCTATATGTAGAAATGATAAGCGTGGGGTTTTCTGAAAATAATTTCATGTGTGTGGACTTGGTATCTATTGCCACACTTTTCTTTAAGCTGTCATTATGCTTCTTCTAGCCCTAATTTAAGATCTTAAGTAAGAAAGGGCTGGAGTACCCACAACTTCTTATGACACCATGATAGCCATTAGGCCCAATATAAGATTAAGAAGAATCCCCTGATCTCACCTAGAGTATCAGAGCATTTTTCCAATTGTTCAAAGCCTGAATGTCATTACAACATGCTTAGAAGGTATAAGATTTTCAACCTTCTTATTTTTATCTCCCTTCAACCTATAGCCCTCTAACTTACTCCTTGTACTGCATAGCAGAGTTTATCCTTCCCTGTACTTACTTTTACTAGTATGTTGTTTTCACAGAGTTTTTCTGCTTTAATTTCTTTCCTACCCACTATTCCAAATCCAATTTATATATGATATAAAAGTCTCATCATGATATTTTAACCTCCAATGAAAACTGTGTTGCTTAATGCTACCCCCCTTTTTTAGATTTTAAAATTTATTTTAAAAAATAAACTTTAAAAACAAGAGAGCAGAAAACATCAGTGGTTGCCTGGGAATAGGGAAAAAGGTATGTGAGAATATTTGGGGTGATGGAACTGCTTGCTTACACAACCAACAGATTGAACATTAAGGATGCTTTTACTGGGTGTAACTAACTCAATTTTTTTTAAAAGATTAAAAGGATAAGAGCCAAAAATTTACCCAATGTGAAAAAATACAGAGCTTATGGTTTTCTCTTGTGGATAATAAAAAGTTATCGTGGGTGTAAAGAAAGGAATAGTAAATGAGATATCTTCAATATACAAAAGATTCTAAAATGTTTAAGAAGAATATGCTTATGCAGAGGTAATAATTTCTTTTTAGATTTATGATTTGACTTGAAATTTTTCTCTAGGGATAAAAATGCTAAAAATGCTTATTTTTAAATTTCACAAAGGTGTCACAGGTAATAAGGAAGGCATTAGAATAATAGAGGGTTCTAAAATTTGATCTACAGAGCATTTACTGCAAAAATACATGCAACTTTTGAGGTCCCTCCCTCCGGAAGTGCAAACATTTCCATTTGGGTTTGGTGGTTGTGGCTCAGGAGCTCCCACCTGGGACAATGGTGTGCATTCCTTGTATCGTCATTCCAGTTCTGCTCTGGATCTACAAAAAGTTCCTGGAGCCATACATATACCCTCTGATTTCCCCCTTTGTTAGTCGCATATGGCCTAGAAAAGCTGTGCAAGAATCCAATGACACGAGCAAAGGCAAAATAGACTATAAGGGTGCAGACATAAATGGATTACGAACATCAGGATCAACAGAAATCTCTGATAAAAAGAAAGACTAAAGGCATTGACTCAGGAACCTCCTTGTTTTCAAAATGGACCTAATAATGTGAAGCACCTTCTTTGTAATTGTCTCTGACCTTTTTCTCTTAGAACTAGGGGTGGATGGTTTAGATGTTTGCCTGATACTGATCAGGAAACACATGGTATTTATATTTAGAATGTATTTAGTTATAGTTAATGATCTCATTCCCGAGTTCCTTTTTCATTAACATAGCTTTAATAGTATGAATGAATAGGAGGTCTGTGCCAGTAGACATTGTTACTAAAGCAGTACCTAAACATCCCTGGGCTTCTAGCTTCTGTTCAGGCTCTTTGAATTTGAGTGGAGTCTGTTTTCACTATGAAACAGTACAGTGAGACTGTGCAGTGAAATAAATGAAAGGGAGTGTTTGGAGGTGATAATGACTTGAAACATAAAGTTATAATTACTGCCCAGCACAATGGAGCCCCTTATCTGCGAGAGTAGAAATTACAGGTTATTGCTCTGAAGAAAATAGCAAAGACAAGAAATTGAGGAAATTTCTTTGGGAAAAATGGAACAGTTTTTACATAAATGTCTAACGTATATTATAAAATTCTAATCTTTGTTGCATTCCTTCTATTCCTACAGAATGTATTAAATATTCAATTTAGCTTGTGGTTGGGGTTTGGCTTTTCTTTTTTTTTCTTTTTTTTAAGTTTAAATATTTCTTAAAAGGGACATTTTTCACTGTATCAGAAAGCAGAATTATAATAGCGTGCTGGCATATGGACAGTTCTGAGACAACAATATATTATTTTTTAAAGTAGATTGTATCAGTTATTATTGTTGCATAACAAGACACTCCAAAACTTAGTGGTTTTCAACAACAGTGACATGACTGGACAGTTCTTTGCTGGTCTGGGCCTCTATATGGTCTTTCACTCCTGGGCTGCTTCACTTTAGGGACTTATAAATGTTCAGAGGTGATGAACCATATCTTTATATCATATTTACTTATTCTTTCTGAGGCAGGGAATGGTTGGAAGACTTCTGCCTTTGAGTCCCCAATGAAGTCCTGGGTCCTAACCAAGGCTCTGTTAAACTCTGTGTGAGCAAGTCAGTGACTCACCCTGGTCTTCATTTGATAGAAATCAGTAGGTTTCAAGTGTTCTTCCCCAACCCACCTGAGGGATAAGATAAATTCCCTTTAGCAACTAAATTCAGTTGATTAGTTTGTTGTTTAAAGTATAAAAACTATATTACAAAAATAGCAGATGTTCACAGTAAAACAGTGCAATGGAAAGTTAAAAAAATACAACTTTTAATAAAAAAAAAACCTTTTAAGTTCAAAATGCAGTATTTAGACAAATTTTCTTGAAATACAAAAATGTAAATGTAGAAGGAAGGAGAACAGCGTGCCGAGACTCAGAGGAGGCGCAGTGCGGAAAATACAAAGGTGCGGAGGTACGCGCAGAACGGGCTGGTGGCTGATGGCGCGGTTGTCGTTTTCAATCGTTGTCGTTTATCGGGAGGAAGTCTCAGACTCTGAGCTCCAGTTCTGGGCGAGTCTCTAGGGACCCAGACTCAAACGAGAGAAGCAGGACGACTTGGCATCAGTCGGAATGCGAGGGCAGCTTTCTCTCCGAGGTTTGCAGCGGTTCTGGGACTCTGAGAGGCAGAGCCTCTGGGGATGGGACTGAGAGCAGCCATAACTGCTCACTCCGCCCGCCCTGTTGATCCCGTGCAACCCGCCCCGCCCAAGCCCTGCACAGAGCCATTTGCCGGATAGCCTCAGGCAAAGGCTAGATTAGCACCTCCTCCCCAGAGGGAAGTTTTCCCATTGCAGACACAGCTGATTCTCACAGCCAGTTGGCCTGGAGGCCAAATCCCCCTAGTATTAACTATAACAACCAAGGCTTAACTACAACAAGACTGCGCACAAAGACCACTAGGGCGTGCACCAAGAAAGCATAAAAAATGCGGAGACAAAAAAACATGACAGAAATGGAGGATATAGAGCTAAAAAACGCTATAAAGAATAAAAATGGCAACAAACAAGTAGCTATCAGTAATAACTTTAAATGTAAATGGATTAAATGCCCCAATCAAAAGAGTGACTAGATAAGAAAACATAACCAATATATCTGCTGTCTACAAGAGACCCACCTCAGAACAAAGAAGTCACACAGACTAATGGTGAGGGGATGGAAAAGGGTTTTTCAGGTGAATGAAATGAAAAAAAAAGCTGGGTTAGCAATACTTATATTTGACAAAATAGACCTCAAAGTGAAGGCCATAACAAGAGATAAGGAAGGCCACTTCAGATAACTAAAGGAAGCAACTCAACAATAAGATATAACTCTGGTAAACATATATGCACCCAATAAAGGAGCACCCAAATACATAAAAAAACTTCTGGATGATATCAAGGGAGAGATCAACAGCAATACAGTCATATAGGGGACTTTAATACCCCACTAACACCACTGGATAAATCCTCTAAACAAAAAATCAGCAAAGAAGCAGTAATCCTAAATGACTCACTAGATCAGATGGAATTAATTGACATCTTAAAACATTCCACTAGAGAGCCACAAAATAGAATTTCTTCTAAAGTGCACATGGATCATTTTCAAAGATAGAACACATACAGGGACCAGGCAAAGTCTCTTCATATTCAAGAATATAGAAATCATATCAAGTATCTTCTCAGGTCACAATGGCATAAAAGTAGAAATCAACTACAATAAAAGCAATGAAAAAATCAAACACTTGGAGGTTAAATAGCATGCTATTAAACAATGATTGGGTTACCAAAGAGATCAAGAAGAAATAAAAAGCATCATGGCAACAAAAAAACAATGAAAAGGCAACAATCAAAAATCTTTGGGACACAGTGAAAGCAGTCTTGAGAGGGAAGTTCATAGCTCTAAAGGCCTACCTCAAAAAACAAGAAAAATGGGTATTATCTAACCCTACAACTCAAAGAGTTAGAAAGAAGGCAACAAGAAAAGCCCAGCATAAGCAGAAGGAAGGAAATAATAAAGATCAGAGCAGAAAAAAACAACATAGAGACAAGTAAACAATACAAAGAGCAACAAAACCAAGAGCTTGTTCTTTGAAAGGATAAACAAGATTGATGAACCTCTAGCCAGGCTCACAAAGAAGTAAAGAGAGAGTACCCAAATAAATAAAATCAGACATGAAAGAGGTGAAGTAACAACTGATCCCACAGAAATACAAACAATTATGAAAAAATACTATGAACAACTCTATTCCAACAAAATGAACAACATAGACAAAATGGGCTTATTCTTAGAAAAATACAAGCTCCCAAAACTCAACCAAGAAGAATCAGAAAACCTCAATAGGCCAATAATTACTGAAGAAATTGAAGAAGTGATCAAAAATCTTCCAGCTAACAAAAGCTCTGATACATAAGGTTTTACACAGGAGTTTTTTTTTTTAAAAAATACAACTTTTAATAAAAAAAACTTTTAAGTTCAAAATGCAGTATTTAGACAAATATTCAAATTTTCTTGAAATACAAAAATGTAAATGTAACATACTACATACAATGTTACATAAACTACATTGAGCTAAAACTGAATGTAGTTGCTTTTACATACCTGGTATTTAGAAGCTCTTTGAATTCTATCCCTCAATGAAAGTTAAGCAGAATTGTCTTTGGCTGTACAGACAGCTCTCTCTTCGTGCCCTCCAACTACATTGTGGGCCTGACAACTTTCCTTCTGGACATTTATGGTGTAGGTGCATCAGGCCCTGCATCCAAGGAAGGAGCACAGTGTCTCTGAAGCCTCTGAAAGGTCAGGAGACTGAAGGCTGGGCTAATCCAGGATCCTCCTCACTAGGTGGACTTGAAAAGAATTTTGTTTGGGGTGTAGGATTCTGCTTCATCATCACTTTCATCAACATTGTTGTTCCCCTCCTCCTCTTCTCTCTTCTACTTAAGACCATTTATCTCTCTCCTTTTCCCCACATGTCTCTGCCCATGACCACATCCGCTATCTTTCCACTGGCAATCTTAATCTTTCCAATCCTGTCTTACTTGGGACTTAAAGACCGTTTATCCCTCTCCTTTTCCCCACATTTTTACAAGCTCTCTTCCCTATTGTCTCTTTCTCTTTAGCATATAAATATGCTCAAATCTCTGGCTGGTATCTTCTTTGATAATATGTCTGCAAGAAATTGGAAAGTTTCTGATTCTTCTGCAGTATTTAATAAATCATTGTAAGTGCTTTCTTTTCTTTTCCACTGCCATGTCTGTAGGAATAGGTGGCTAGATATTGAACAAAGAGTTCCATAGCATTAACCGTGAGCATGAGTGCTTCCTGTTTGATTCTGGACACCTCAGGTGAGCTCTTCATGATGACCCAGATGCAGGACAGGGGCAGCGACAGGAGGCACTTCTCCTGTCACTTGTCTCTGCCCATGACCACATCTGCCATCTTTCTTCCCCTCTCCTGCAGTGACTACCCCTCTTTTGAAAGAAGGATCTATATAGTATACTAGAGGCCCAGTGCATGAAATTCGTGCATAGGGAGGGGGAGGTGTCCCTCAGCCCATCCTGCATCCTCTCCAATCTGGGACATCCTTCTCACAATCCAGGACTGCTGGCTCCCAACCACTCATCTGCCTGCCTGCCTGATTGCCCCTAACTGCTTCTGCCTGCCAGCCTGATCACCCCTAACCACTCCCCTGCTAGCATGATCAATGCCTAACTGCTCCCCTGCCGGCCCGATTGTCCCTAACTGCCCTCTCCTGCAGGCCTGGTCGCCCCCAACTGCCCTCCCCTGCAGGTCTGGTTCCCCCCAACTGCCCTGCCCTGCTGGCCATCTTGTGTGTTGGAGTGATGGTCAATTTGCATATCACTCTTTTATTAGATAGGATTCTAGCTCTGCCATTTAGTAGTTGTGTAACCTTTCATACTATACTTATCCTTTTTTCTTGATACCCTCATCTGGTTATATTTTAGCATTAAATGAGATAATGTATGTAAAACTCTTACCATAGTATTTGGTACTATTATTACTAATAATAGTGTAAATTATACTTTTCACACATTAGCCTGTGGTGACAAAACATACTATAAATCTATTCTAATATTGCTCTTAGAAATGTTTTTAGAAAAACAGCAAGTTTTATTATCTGTATTCCAATTTCCAAAAGGGAAGAAGAAA